AATACACACTTGACGATGTACATGTACTTAGAATTGAAATTACTTGCGAACTAGAAGTTTGGCGAGGGATATACGGGCTAGATTTTGGCGGGTGATTGTGCAAAAGATTATCGAGCAACCTCCTTGTTGCACAAGTTTTTTCCAAAGTCCAGTTTATCTTGTGGTGGATGAAAAGGAAAATCTTCTATTATTTGCTAATCTGGTAGTAAATGAAGATAAGAAATGCGTTTCTTGATTATAGTGATCACTTAATACGTGATAGTTGATATTTAATAATGACGTCTATATGAAATCCCTGAAGGATTAAAAAACGGGACATAATTCCCAATCCTCGATGACTTAGTTCAAAAGACTTGCGCAAGTTATAACCTATTCATGTATCTAGATATTGAGGTTCATATTTTTTGAATATAATATGCTATATTTGTTTTTAACTAAATATGTTATGTTTGTTCGTAACATGATTTTTTATCTGTTTTTATGATCATATTTGAATGATAGGATGATAACTAATATTAGAGTGAGTATTCATAAGCCATATATGCATTTACAATTTTGTTAGCATCGAACTCTTGTAGAGTTTCAAATGGCTGAATATTATCGAAACTTATCACGAAGTTCGAATAGCCTAAATATAAATAAAAATCCTGAGATTATATCATTGTTATGAACACTTGTAAGGAAGTCTAAAAGGTTGCTACTTGCCTGAAGTAAGGATAATGAAAGATCTTGAGTAGAATCTCGGTCTAAATAGTTTGACCTGTGTATATTCAACACCCATTGAGCGCATTGATTAAAATCTTGATGTGGATATTGATCATTCTTCTTGACTTTCTATTAATGATGTAGACCGATTTGGTCCTAAAATAGTATATAAAGTTTCAGTTTATCTAATCAATAAGTCAAGACTTGGATGTTGTATATTGATACCTTCAAGGTATGATGGTCACGCATCTCCATTATTATAAAACACTCAAGATTATACAAGTATATGAAGACAACCGTCTACATGAGAAGTCGAAGTAATCTGTCTATTATTGACTTAAAGAATCATGAACTTAGTCAATAACTTGGCATGCAACGAGAAGATTACAAGCAACGTACTTAACAAGGGAAGTAATCCACGCTATACTCTTTTTCCCTTGATCGAGGTTTTACCCCAATGGGTTTTCCTGACAAGGTTTAACGAGGCAGCGTCACATTCGGAAGTATACTCTTTTTCCTTCACTACGGTTTTATCCCAAAGGGTTTTTCCTAGTAAGGTTTTAACGAGACATTATTCCGCAAAGATGGACATTCAAAGGGGGAGTATTATGCAATATTTGATTTGATTTAATTGAATGTCCATAATTAACATGTATTATTCTATTCACAATCAAAGACATATGATTCTGTAATATTTAACATTAATGATAGGTGGTTCATTTCTCACAGTTTGATTCCCTACTTCTTGTATAAATAGGGAACTCATTCATGCTTCAAAAGACATCTAAATACAAGTCTCTTATCTCTCTCTATTCTCTTGTCTCTCCTCTTTATTCTTATACTTAGTTTCATATTAGTAGTCTACCATAAATTTTATAACAAAATATTTTTCATGGAAAGGAACTGAGAATTTGTGTACTGGCTTGTTAGGGTTTTCATAGTCTTCTTAACACCATCTTTATCATTAGCAAAAAGCCAGAAATTCCACACCAATTCCAAATAATCAAGAAAAGCCCCCTCAGGGAGAGAGAACTAGGAAGTAATTAACAACAGCAACCATAAACGAATTTTTACCGTGGGTTAAAAAATTAATCACAAGTTGTGCATCAAGATACTGTCTAGATAACTAGTTTTAAAACAACTTGTGAATTAACTAAACTTATTAGTCATTTCTAAGCTGCAAACTTTTATATATCTTTACCAAATAAAATTAATTTCTGTGATATAACAACAAACAAATAACATACGCACAAAAAGAAAAGGAAATCAATTCCAATATCAAACAGCAAATAAAGCGGTATTCAATTTCCTTCTAATTAATACCTAGGAGTTTTTGCATGGAGGAAAAGATAGGGATCATCACACACACACATATATATATATATATATATATATATGTAACCCATGATATTGTTGGCTTTTGCAATCCCATTAAAAAGAAAAATGAAAATGATAAAAAAAGTAAAATAAATAAAATAATATTGGAAAGAAAGCGATTACTTTGTGCAGAAATCAATGAAATCAATTAGTTTCCGTTCATAAATTTGTTTCGCTTTTATTCTTTTCAGAGATAAACAGTACGTACTTAAAGTTTGTCCGATCCATAAAACAGAGCCGGTTACGACCGCGGGTCAATGACGTCGCCCACGGTGCAGAGACATTCTATTGTTTGGCATTAATAAATGTATTTTTGTTTTCGGTAATTATTTTACGGAATCATTTTACGGGTTGTTCAAGAATCATGTGATTGGGTGTATATGATAATCTTTGATTTGAAATAACTAAGTTGTGATTAGGGTTTCTTAAAAAGGAGGAATCTTTCTGATGTACTCCCTCCGTCCCATAATTATTGTACAGTTTGAGTTTTCATTTTTAGTTTAAATTGTATCGAAAGTGAAATCTCAAACTGAATAATAATTTTGAGACTGAATGAATATTAAATTATTTGTGGAACATGAACTACTTTTTTGTGTGAATGAGCGTACATTAATACTTTTGACACAACATTAGACGTCAATCACACAAATTTGATTTATTATTTTCTACTTAATTTGAAATCTACATCCACGGAAGCTTTCAAATTTATTCCGATGGAGGAAAATAGGATTAAACTTAATTACTAGCTACTAGTACAGTATTTTGATAAGGTTTAGTTCAACCAATAAAATAAGATCTGTGGGACGTTGAGTGTGACGAAGACGTCGAAGTTCCTTTCATTTGCACAGGGAAGAATTCTTTTGGACTTTATACTACTATCATCATTTAGTTTAGTGACTTCGTAATACAACAAGCGAACATAATATTGTTTCCGTCCAAAATTATTGTCCAGTTTGCATTTTTAATTTTAGTACAATTTAAATTAGAAATAAAAATTCAAATTGGACAATAATTTTGGGACGAAGGGAGTAACTATTATTGAATGGATGTTGTTCTTACCTTTTCTTCTGAATCATTCTAAGTCTAACTAGCATCGTCCCAAGCCTCTTAATAATCCTCCCACTCTCGAGATGAGTTATCTTGATTTTAAGTTATCTTTTGTAAGGAAGTCTAAAAAAATTGTTTTCCAATAACTAAAAAATTAGTATTAACACAATGAAATTATAAATATTATAAACTGTGACAGAAAAACATAAATTTATTAAACCATTATTCTATCTCTTTGTCGATAGCTACATTTGAAATAACTATAGTTTTAAACAAAATAAAATAAAATAAAAGGAGCAAAATATTATGAAGCATAATCAAACGGGAGAGAGAGAGAGATCTATGGCTCAGAATTTGACCGTACATACTTAAATTGAGGGTAATTTTCATCAACATGCTATCCTTTCCCCCTCTGATTAAATTTGAGGGTGATTTTGCAAGACAATATATACTTTCATTTTCTTAATTTAGAATCTAAATTAGTGCCCTTATAAAGAATTATATGAAAGGTCTACCTTTTGAAAAAAAATAAAAAAAAAAAATTCACCACTGCCCTTTCTGATTTCCTTCACATTTACGAGTGAGTCGTATTTGTGTTAAGTTATAAGCAATGGAAGATGGAATTGTCGTTGTTTTCGTTTTAACTCAAATCAATTAAAGTTGATTATAAGTGTTAAATAAAAAATAATGGAGGTCAAAATCTTTTCCCTTTTTTCCCCAAAACCTACCCTTTCACGTATTTTGCCAACATGAAAATTACAATGGCCTAAGCATAAGCGATTTATGTCTTTTGAGAAACGTTGGCAATATATGTTCATTTTTATTATTATTATTATTATTATTTTTTATTTTTTTGCATATTTGCATATATGTTCATTAAAATCTGAAGCTAAACAATGCCATACTTGCAACATATGAAAATGTACCCAACGAGTTTAACTTATTAAAGTTTTAAAACACACGGTGAGGTGTTCTAGCAAGTTGTGCAGAAGGTGCACTTTTAATAATACTGCCTCTGTCCTCCCTAAAAAAAAAATTCACATTAAGTTTTTAAATTTGTACTAAAAACAGTAAAAAAAAAATTCAAAATACAATGTAGATTATTTTTTAAAAACTAAGGTCTTATCATAATCTTTTGTGGCAAATTAAATGAAAAAGATTTCGTTACGTCCTCAAGTAGATGACTATACAAAAAAACTTAACACATCTACCACTATTCACTCAGTTCCCATTCTTAATCCTCTCGGCCCAATCAATGTTTCACAATATAATCATATACAAAAGTTACTGTCCCAAAAAATGGTCCACATAAATGGTACAAATTTTAAAATTTATTGTAAACTTTTTTTTATTTTCTAGAACAGAGTGTTAAATATTTCTTTCCGTGGCTCGGTGGGTACATTTTCATATGTTGACGTAATAAGAGTTGACGTAATTCTTTAGTTCAATATTAGTTTACCTCTTTATCGGATCGCAGGACTAATTTGATGAATAGGAGTACATCTAAAATCACAAAATGTAGTAGAAATATGACTTCTAAAGGTGAAGCAAGCAGAAGCTCATTTCGGATTCCTCTGTGGTACATTGGAGATTTTAATTAACTTCAAAGCGCTGGACTGCTGGACATAGATTATTTGCAGCGCTTTAAAATAATACACTGTTACAGAACTACTGTTACAAGTAACCAAAACGTGCTTTAAACACTCAATTAGAAATTGCAATAAAAGCTGGGCCGAAAAATGGTCGACCAAAACATTAGGCTGTGACAGAGAGATTAGAAACCGAAAATGCAAAGAATGACTAGTTACACATAGTACCAATAATATCTAATCTACTATAAATACAGCAGGAATGCCATCTTCGTCAGCAGTTCAATGAGCATCCTCAGCAGTGGCTTCCTTGTTAAGGCCCATAACATATCCCCAATTTTTCCCACAGCTCCATACTGATCATTTTTTCGACAGAAATGATGCAAAGTTAAGAAGATGCAAAACTACAGAAGTAATTAATGTCACTTAAGAAACAGATACTCGTACCTTTTGATGGCTGCTCAATCCAAGGGCCATTCATAACAGTCAGTGCAGTGACTGCCTCACTGTATTCAAGATTAGGCAGCAGTTTTGGTGTGACTAAGAAGCACCTACAGAGATGGAAACGGCATATTTTAGTTTGGAAGAAGGTATTCTTGACTTTTTCTTTTTCTTTTTTCTTTGTTGGGGTTTGCGGAGGTTGAAGGAACCAAAGTAATTATGAGGGACCAAATGCCTACACCCACCAGTTATTTGTCAACTGTATGTGGCATGTGTTTAGGGTTAATCCGTTGTTGCAAGTATTCTTCAAGACTGATAACCGTTATTCTTTTTCATGGATGACCAAAAGAGTGAATAGTTCTTGTAAGGTCCCTCTCTCCCCCAAAAAAAAAAATTGCATATTGCAGAGAACATGACCAAGGTATTTCGCATATATCACAAAATGAGATTTTCAACAAATAATTAATTTTATCCTTTTTCTTAATGATGATTACATTATTCGCCGAGAGTTTCCAAAATATAATTGCAGGCATCTGAAAGTGACACAATCATAGAAGAGTTGGAAGACAAAGAAGCACAACTTACTGTGGCGTATTTGGTTTACTAGCAGCTCTAACTAATTGCTGAAACATCTTTCTCTCGTTTACAGGGTCCATACCTGCGGAAGAAAAAAATAGTAATGAATATCACCCTCGATATATCATGCTGTAATAAGTGAAGAACATAAACATAAGAGGAACTTTACAAGAACCTTGATTTATCTCATCAACAACCCTAAAAGGGCAATTGGTAAGGTCTTGCAGAGAAACAAGGTAGAGAATAGTTGCCACAGACCTCTCCTACAACCAAGATAAGAGTAAGAAAATAACAAGCCATAAATTCAATGACATACTAAAATCTCTAATTGTCATACCCCTCCAGACTGATGGTGGGCACTGAGAACCTGTAATTGTCCAGCTTGCCTGATTATAGAATATCAGACCAAACAAATTTAAAAAGTGACAGTCAGAAACAATGATCAGAATTAATATCTAACAATGAGCAGAAAAGGACAGACCTCTATTCTTGTTTCTATCAGTTCTTTAAGGAAATGAACAAAATGCAGAATGGCAATCCCCATGATCATTATCATCAAAAAAATACAACTTGTCTCTTTTAACCATTATTAACACATCTATCATATTATATTTACTATGCTTTCTTTCTACATTTACTCTGCATTCAGCCATTCACAAAGCACAAGAGGTATTCGATAGCCAACATATCTTCTCCTTTGTGTGGTCTACATACCTTTCAATAGCCAATATATATTGTAACATATGGTACCTAATCCTTTTACTCATAATGTTAAATCTTTTGCTTCACCCTGCATGTATTACACAATCCTTCTTTCCTTTCTTTATATTTTCATTTGACTGTTTCTCGGAATCTTTCATCATTCTGTTCTAAGCAACTCCAATGATTTATTATTATCTTTTTTGTTTTTTTGTTCCACTCCTCTGACAAACAAACTTCATTCCTGTAAGTATTTTGTTTTATGTACTCCTTACTCAAACAAAACTTCGTCTATTTAGGAATTTATCTTTATAGATATCAAATGCACTTTCAATTAAAACATTTAATCATGAAATTGCCTAATCTACTAAAACTTTTGACTTTTTGGTCCCCCCCCCCCAAAGAAAAGAAAGAAAGAAAAAAGGAATTGCAGCAAATTACCTGAACTTTACTTTAATTAATATCCCATATTGATCAAAGTCTGTGCCACGCTCATCTACAATTAGACACCTATTAATACTGGAAGGAGTGAGAAACTATTTCAAAAGAAATTTTCATAAACACAATATTTACCTAGTGAGACTTCACCAGCAACAGCCATTTCTTGAAAGTTACTGCTGAAAGTCTTATTAATTGTACTTACGAGGCTCCTTAATGTCGAGAGCCACCTCTCCTGCAGATGATGAGATTCTCTATTAAGCAACCAGATTGATTAATGAATAAGGGAGAATTACATGAGTTTTACAACTACCACTATTCAGATCATCTACTTGTTGGAATTCACCCTGAGCCAAGGTAACCTAATACAAGGGGGCTTCAAGTGATGGGAACATGGAACTAGTAACTAAAAACAATAATCGAATCATCCACGTAAAGATAATAAATAGAAAAAATATATATATATATTATAAAAGATTAAATAAAACCTTCAAGTGATTGATATCTTCTAAATGTGAAGCCAGTTCCTGCTCATCTGCTTCTAGTTTCTTTGCAATGGTATCTATCTGCACAAACCATGTAATAATAAGACCTTAAGGGTAGCTGAAAAGTACAAACAAAACAATGAAGAACACACCTTCACTAGGCGGCTTTCGTACTGTTCCAGAACATTTGGATTAAGTAAGAGAAAAGAGTTGGCTTGAGAAGTGATATCATGTATAGCAGCCTCTAAATCTTCGATTGTAGAAGGCATCTGCATGTTGTTTACAATAATTTTAATCAGTTACTCGAGATAATTGAGATGCGCAGGTAAAATAATTGATGAATTTGAGAAGTGGTAAACGCAGATGTTCATCAAAAAGTAACTGGAACAACAAAAATAAATAAGATTACTAAACCAAATGATCACTTCGAAGTGAGGTCTGATAATTGACATGTATCAATGCAAAACATTTCATAAATCCCTAAATTTCCATGAAAATTGTTTGATGATTTTTGATTCAGTGGATTCTTCCCATTCAGAAGGAAGAGAAATGCACATTTCAATTAAATCAAGGACACTGCTTTCCAAGAATGCCATACCCCACACAAGGTGCCTTCTTCCGACATCACCAATATCCCAATAGAAACTATTTTTCTCCACCTTTTGCCTTATTTGAAAAATGCCAATAAAGAGTTTAAAACTACTTCCGTTTTTGCTAACAAAAAGAGAAACTATTCCGCAAAATATTTAAGAATAGATCTTCCCTTCTACATACATCTACATTCAAAACGATGGCACATTAGACGCGAATAAAGGTACAGCAGCATGGTTACCGACCACAAACGCAGTTCAAATAGGAAAAGAAATTGTCAAACAAGAGTACTATCTCAGTGAGAGGTGCAAACCTCAAGAAATGCCTTCTTCAGTTCTGGAGTTATCTTGGCAATAGATTCTGCGTGCCTCTTGGCATCTGAAAGTTGCTCTCGGCAATGCTCCATTTTCTTCTTGCCTTAGTAATATGAATTCGAGCATCATAGAGCAGCAGTCAACATGTGTTAACATGTACAAAATTAGGGAGTTGTCACATTGAAGTTGTCACTTAAGGCAAAGACACCTCTAGGTATCCAAATTATCATTATTCCTTTTCGTTGCAAGAAAAAATTTTCCATCTAATACCTTGAAAGATCCTAATCCAAAATTAGAGCAACTAGCCGCATATTAATAACCAATAGGAGAACGCTTAGATTAACTCCAATTAATGTACCCAAAGTGCGGGGATTTAAACAGATAACAGCACTGGCTTCTGATTTGTGTGAACATGATAAAGAAAATGTACAGAATCAATATGGTACAATCTGCAGCTTTTCATTTAACAACGGGATTATGTCTCAATCTTCTGTACATGAAATCTACTGGACAAGTCCTTATGGATATTCCCAACCGACTGAAGTGCAACAGCAACAGTCAATCTAAAGGACTAGAAAATTCTTGGTTGGTAAGCAGATTATACTGCTGACACAAGGATTAACCAGCATGCTATTCCAGACCCATTTTTCTCTGCCTAGAATAAAAGTTTATGAAGATATGACTAACAAGCAGAATAAAGATCCCACAAAGAAGCCCAAGAGCTGATTCGGACGTAAAGTAGTTCTTATTTATCTATCCAGAAATCCAATCAATGTAATTTCCAAATCAAATCTTGCTACCAGCAAACATGAAGCAGTTTAGACATTGGGATGGTACTCTATTTAGCAAGCCAAACTTTATCATAATATTGAAAGTAGATCATAAGAAGCAAACAATACTTATGAAAGTAGATCATAGACCATACAGTGAGAAAGAAAGGTTATAACTTACAACTTTCATAATGCATTGATGCTTCCATTGCTAACTTTTCCTCGTGTTTAATATTGGCTTCCACTTCTTTAATCTAATACAGCCATAAAATTTCAACCATTAAAAAATGAAAAGGAAAAACATTAATGCTCAATACATTGACAAGTTTATGAGAAGTTAAGAAAAGATTCACTCATTCATTGGAAGATCAGCATCCATTCTATCAAAAGACCAATAACCATAGAGCATTATGACATATTAAATGGAAGACGCAATTAAAATACAAGAACATAATGGTAACAAGATGATAGTATGAAAGAAAGAGACCAGAAGGAACACAAACGTAATGGAAACCAAAACACTAACCCGCTATCAAGATGCCCCGTTGTCATACGTGTTTAACTATTAGATACATAATCATTAGAGACTCATACTGGGTATGAGATGGTATGGACAGAACATATTAAAGATATGCTTTCTCCTACTTTCTTTGTTCTTTCTTTCTTCCCATCACACACACACACACACACACAAAAATATCTTTTCAGGCATCAATCGTAACGATCTTTCGTATCTGTCATTAAGAAATCATCCAGACAGAGTCATGAGTTTGTAAAGAAGTAAATGCCAGACACAGAAACACATAACAATGCATTACAGAATTATTATCTAGTTAATTTCCTATCCTTAACCTGCAATACGCATGGTATCTTATTCATTCTTTTCGAAGCCCTAGTTATTGAACAGTCCAAACCCTTAAATTGATCCCACCTTTGGAAATTCTTCACTTTCAACTCATCCACCACCCTTATTAAGAATAATTGAAGTACCTTATAGTCTAGTTCTACTGAGGCCATTGTAATTTCAGTCAAGCTTCTTCGATGAGCCACAGCCTCAATAATTAAATCCTGCAAAACAGGGCAGAACGGAACTGATTTGTGAATGAAGTATCCACATCAGATGAAAAAAGAATGCCCAAGCACAGCACATCAAAATAGTAAGCCATTTCAATATACAGATGCACAACGTGCGTCACCTTCACTTCAGCAGCCAGTCGCAATCGGCTCGTTTTCAGTCTACCAATCTCTTCAATAAGCTTAGCCAATTTTGCATCACTGTTTTCCTCCTTTTCCAAATCATCCAGATTCCGCTTCCTATGTCCTAAGCAATATGAAGAATTAACCAAATTGACAGCCTTAGAAAGGCGGGAAAAAAACAAACCCAAATAAGAAAGGAAAACAAAAGAACAGCTCATAGAACAGTACTTACTGACACGGGCTTCCAAATCCTTACGTCGGCTCTTCTCATTCTGGAATTGTTTGTATATCTCATCCTAAAAGGTATTGGCACAGAACATTACAAGCCAAAAGCACAATTATACTTCGAGTCCAATAGATCACCGCTCACAATTCTAAGAGGAGTTGTAACTAAAGTTTGACTTACCTGTTCTTTTCTTAGTGCAGCTCCTTGATTCTCCCATTGTCTATAGTCACTTCGAAGAGTTTCCAGAATCTTGTTTAGCGAAAAAATACAATCCTCATGCACCTTAATCTTTGATTTTAGCTTATCAATTTCTCGGACATCAACATCTGCTCAGGAGAAAAATTTTTCCATTAGAGTTGATAGTAAGCATTGCATAATCACATTAATATCCCATACTTAACAAGAAACGCACTGCATAAGAGAAGCTGAGCAGGTCTGACTGAGTCCACAGAAGCAGAAATGTGCCCACCATATCGAGAACGATTCCATCTGTAATGATTCTCTGGAGTCCAGAGATCCATTATATCTAACTTAAGTACATCACTGGCCCTTTGGTCAGTTTCTTTGGATCCAATGAACTGGATGAAACAAAATAAATAAAATCAAGATATTAGAGTTGAGAAGTCGAAGGAAAAAACAAAAAAAAAAAAAAAAAAACAAAAACCTGCAGAGAATGGTGTACAAAACATAAAACTCCAATCAAAATAACCTACCGAATGTTCCAATCCAAACTGGCTGATTAAAACTTCTCTGACAGCAGAAGGAGCATCAAAAATTTGGTCAAGTCTAGAGTAGATACCAAGCTTTTTCATCTGCATAACACAAGAAAGAGATGCATGAATCAAAAACTAATAAATTCTTCGGGGAGAATTCGGGTTCATTTTTTCAGTTGTACCTCATCGGTTATTCGAAATGTCCCCTTATCGTGTCTTTCACCTCCAATGTGATTTATAACTGGAACTTCGAAAGACCGTAAGTTTTCAACCAAGAAGTCACGATCACCAGAATCCTGGGTTATAAAGGCCTGGTGCGCAGCATTCATATTAAAAATTGGACATAAAAAGTATGCTGATAGCTCTTTAAAAGAACCTCAAAACTAAGTATCACGACACATCAGAATTGATAGAAATGAAATGGAACCACAAGGGCCACATATGGGATCACAAAGGGGGAAGGATGTGGAAATCTAAAGCCTAATAAATACATGATCATGGCTCGGAGACAAGAAGTGGAAGCGAATAGGGGAACTGAATTGCACTAGTTAACCTTATCAATATCAAAAAGTTCTGCAAGAACTTAAAATGAAAGAATGCAGAAATCTTCCGAACTTCACAATTGCGAATGAACTTCCATTGGCCATCCTACATATCAAATTCTGAACTCTAGTTTGTTTCGTTGAAACACCCCATAGTTCTACTTTACAGGGCTAAAAAGTTTACATTTTCCACTGTCATACTTCGTTTTAAGTTAAGGATTTGGAACAATGAGAATGACATGTGCTACAATGGTATACAAGGGACTGACTACAATTTTAGAGGTAAATTACGTGTTCTTAAGTATTATTAAATAGAAGATGCAGGATGTACAAGTAGTGAGTAAAATATTAGAAGTAGAATTACATCATCATAGCTACTGTTGAGCTAATATTGGTAATAACAAAAGTAACAGAACTAACGAGTAGAAAAATCAGTTATGAGAATGGTATCATCACCTAACAGCAACCAAAAGCTGAACAAGAACAAAATTTTCTAACTAAAATTCCTTCAAGTTGAACTGGCCATAATCAAGTACTGCAAAAGGGCTGAATGACAACATATGCTCAGGATAACATTGCCGTCGTCGTCATCATCATCATCATCATCATCATCATCATCATCATTATTATTATTATTATTATTATTATTATTATTATTATTATTATTATATTTTCCTTAGTACTATGTTGTCTAGGGTTAGATTAACAATACAGCCATCTTTAGTTTGAAAAGGATAACCACCGTGGTGTAGACACTGAAAGCCGATAATCAAATCTAACACTGAAAAATTAATGTACCAGAGTACCTTCCACATATAGTTTGCTACGTGGCCCTCTAAATAGTCAGCGTGAACCCGGTTCGAGACATTCACCTGTTTCAGAAATCTCGTAATATTATTGTTGATCATAATATACAGTCGTAAAATTACTAGAAAAAATTCTGAACGGCTGTACCTCAAGCAGTACTGGACCATAAACTTCTTTTCTAAAATGATCACGATGATCCTGTACCCATTTGTATGCCTCAAAAATCTTGTCAGCGCCATGATTCTTTAACGCTAGTAAGCTTTTGGTGTTCTTGTCTTCCAAATTTTTCAGCCTGTGCAAGGTTGTCAGCATAAAGTCAAAAAAATGAAAAGATTAAAGCAACCTATATTTGGGAAATTCAGGAGCTTACTTCTCCACACACAGCTTTAGGTTTTGCCTCTCGTGCAATACTTCCTTCTCTTTTGCCATGCTTTCAGACCTAATTTCTCTGTTTTTTGTATCGACTTCATTAATTTGAGCATTCAATCCATCCTGAAAAAGAGCAATGCAGTCAAGGGAGGTAAAGAATAAATAAGAATGATAGTAAAGAAAGGTAGAAGTAGTATTTTCTATAAGCCACCACAGAGTAATCAAGAAGAGTAGTTAAACCTACAAGTTTGTCCTTAGCATTCTCAAGTGGAGGAAGATTAGCAAGTTCTAATTCGACCGCCTCCAGGTCTTGTTTAGCTTTATTGATTCTCTGCTTTCGGGATTCTTCTTGGGTCTTACAATCTTCCATGTCTTTATATTTTCCTTGCACTTGTACTCCCTGGATATCTATATTATATTAAGCCAGCACATGATATCTTAAAAATAAATAAATATCAAAAGATTCTTGCCACACAAATTCTGACCAGAGAGTTGTGATTTTCCGCAATTCGCAAGCGCTTCTCGGCATTTTTATCTATTAAGGCCATCATCTTTTTGCAATTTGCATCATGTGCTCGTTTCTCTTGTTTGTGTTTCCTACAAGATAGAAGTTTTTGTGCCATTTTAAGCCAAAATTAAAAGCAGAAAATACGAAAGCGAAAATATCAAGGCTCAACTGGAAAATCATAAGCCAATCGCACTAATCCCTATTAGTTCGATTTTATTCATTAGATATACATCTGATACAATACATTATTCAGGAATAGGTGCAGGGTCAGCATCTTCTTGGGGATAGATTGTAACAGAAGAAGTTGCAATATCATCAAGCAGGAAAATTCGGATGGAAAAGTACAGGTATTAGTGGAAAGAGAAACGATCAACATTATCACTTCCAAAACAATAAAGTTTTTGCAAGACAAATGATTACAGAAACATAAATGTTATCAAAGCAAGTTCACTTCATGAATAGGTTCTCTAAGGTTCCCTTCTTCCTGCTTAACAGCAACATAATAGGGATAGAAAGTAGCAGGTTTGTGGAAGTGAATGAAAATAACAGACCAGAGAAATTTTTGAAACAAGTAAAGAAAATTGCTATCCTCCCCCCCCCCCCCCCCCCCCCCAAAAAAAAAGAAAACCCGCGCACACACAGAATGAAGAAAGTTGTATAAGGAGTAAGGGTTTTCAAGTGACTTATCCAAAAAAATTGATAAATTTTGTGATATATGATAAAGAAACCAATTGTTGTGATAGACTTATAGTAATTTCACTCACTCAATAGGTTCAGTAAGATCATGTACAATTTTTGCAGCATTATTTAGTTTCTTCTTTGCTTCCTTCTCGCACTCCTGAGCATCAAAATATTCTTTCTTTTTAATGTCATATTGTAGCCAGGGCAACTTCTTCTTCATTGAGTCAACCTAAAGGCAAAAGAAACTGATTACTAAAGTTCTTTCAAATTCCCCCAAACCAACAAAACAACACACACACCTCATGAAAGGAGATATTAGGGGAAAGAAAGCAAATATTACACCTGCAAGAGGAGTTCTTCCCTTTGGCGCACTCGTTCAACATCACTTTCTAGCAAAGCATTAAGTGCTTTTAGCTGTTCAAGAGATTCTTTGTTGTTATCAACAGCCTGTAGACAACAGAACCGTTATAACTCTATTCTGTCATAAACAATTCTTCATAATTTCCATAAGAAGCCACTTTTCAGATTTCTGATGCATCCACAAATGAAGAGTGAAATTTTCTAGAGATGGATGAACTAGAAACTTACTCGTTCAAGCTTCTTTAGTTCTCGGCTTTTGTTTATGAGTGAATGGTGCAGAGTTGGTAGTTGAGGGTCTCCTACAGCTTTCTCAGTCTCCTCAAGAAGTTGTATTGGAGTTAACTTGGCAAACTCACATACTCGATCTTGTGGAAGAAACTAAGCCCATCACCAAAACAAATGGGAACAGGAAAAAATACCAGGTCAGAATGTAGAAGCAAGCATGAAATCATAAGCAGAAAAGAAAAAGAAACTACATAGGCACAAATGAAAACACCATCACATGAATTTTACAATTCAATTCTAGAAATGAAAAGAAACAAGAAAGAAATTAATTAACTGAGCCAGAGGTTAGTTGGTTGGTTCCGTCCAACCTAGTTTATTCATAGATTACATAGCCAGGACTATGAAGAAAATCTTCTTATTTAAGAAGAAAAAACAGGTGCCATCTACCAGCAGAGTTTAACCAGCATTACTCTGTACAATTTAGTTAATCAATTCAACAACCAGCACCAAAAAATAGCTAGTGCAATTTTTTACGGCACCTTGTTTACAATCAAATGACAATGCCATTTCTTGGCTGTTCATAGATCTAACCAACAAGAGGACGGAAATCAGAGCAGCCACACTCTAATCTTCATGTTTTTCACTCAGTAGTTACTCTAACTAAAGATCACTTCTCATCAGTTACACCAAAAGAATAATCCATCGATGACAACACTTGTTAAGAAGAGCTTTAGGCACAAAAATAACTAGAGTGAAAACAAATGATGTTATAACTCAGTATCTTCAGTAGGGAAACAATCAAAAGAAAGCTGAACCTTAAAGAGTTTGCATTCACATAAATGAAAGTTGAGCTAAAATGTTGAGTCTCCCAACAGCGAAACCATTCACTACAATCAAAACCATAATCCACTATCAAGTTAGCTCAGTACAATTTGGTGGACTAGAGCAGCCACACTCTAATCTCCATGAAAAAGTCGAGGTTTCCTTACGAGAAAATTTTCTGGAAAATCATTGGTAAAGGGTGTCCCAATGTGAAAAATGGAAACATAGCAAGATGGAAAATTTAAAGAATCCTCCAAGAATGAGAAAGGTACATCTCAGAAAAGTGATGGCAAATATCTCCATGGTGAAATTCAATCAAGGACAACTCTACAATTCAGTAGAAGCAAACAAAACAATGTAAATCATAGAAAACCCGATTTACAGCTCATAAATACATTATATATCCTCAAAGTGCGATTCAAATGCAGGAACAAAAATATATCTTCTTTTCTCTCACATTCTGAACTATAGAGCAGATGCACAAATATTAGAAGACATAAAGCAACAACTATATTGTAAAAGAAAGTCAACACAATGACAACATCAGAGAGAATATAAAAGTTTCAATTTCCATGTTAAATTTCAAAGAAATAGTAGAGCTCACTTGAGTCAAATTGTTCACTTGGATGTTGAACTTTTGAATCATCTCCATGACATCTCTCTTTGGAACCACCTTTCCTGAAGCAAATCATAGCTATTTAATCGATAATGCTCTGGCTATATGAATCACCTATACCAGTCAATATTGCAGATACTTGTACGCATGCTTCTGGTAGATTTCAGAGAGTAAAAAAAATAATAATACAACATGCAATTATAATCTAATACATACATGTCAATCATCATATCATTAAAAATTTTGTCTTGCATCCAAAAGACAATGTTCAACTATGATCATTGACGGTTAAGTTATATCGCATAAGAACTACTTTTGAAGTCTGCAAGTTTGACCAGATTACATTGGAGAGAGTTAATGAAAGTAGCTCTTTTCCCCGATCTTGTGGTAAAATGTCCACCCCAACTACCAAAAAAAGTTGATGCAATTTTAACAGTTTAAAATTAATAGACAGCATGCTCTATCCAGCTTCTATGTTTCATTCTCCACACCAAAGTTTGCACATGGTAAAGAATATCAAATCTCAGTGAATTAGAAAACATAACAGGATTACTTGAGAAAAGTGTCATGAAACAGAAAACTTTTTTCAAAAATTAAATGGAAATATACCATTCAAAACCCACTCGGACTTGTTATGTATGTCTATCTTCCGCATGATGGTAATCTCCTCTTCACTGTTTACACCTCGCAAGGTTATTTTGATGTATCCAGACTCCTCCCCCCGTTTTACATAGGCACCAATACTTGTTGCCCTACCCAATACCTGCACTTATGCAAATAATATCAACTCCATAGCAAAAGTGCAACTCAATTTGTAACATAATATTGCTTTCTTTTTAACTACCTGAGGATCACCACCAAGACCAAGTGCAATAGCACACACAAGGGAGCTCTTACCAGACCCATTGGGTCCAATAAGAAGGTTAAGTCTTGGCCCAGGACACTGTGTCACTCTCCCAAATGTCATGAAGTTACAAACTTCAATTGAAATTATGTTTCCAGGCTTGAAATCTCCTGTATCTCTGCAGGCCAACGGTAGAACAAAAACATACAAAAGATTACCAATCCATATAATCTTCTTCCACTACATTATACAGATGAAGAGATTCAGCCAATAAAAACAAATTTCAAACATGCTTGATCAAATAATGCAGAGCATCTTTGGTACTCAAAAAACTTCAACAAGCGAACAAGGCTTTTGTCACATTAAAAAAACAGAACCGTGTACAAACAGGATAAAGCACTTAGAAACATCTTCGTTTTGATCACTTCCAGAATTAGAACTGACAAAAACTTAAAACAAAAGCAAATGAAAATTTATTATAAGAAATTTTTTACAGTGATATAAAATTCTGTAGATATCAAATTCACATAATGCAAACAAAGAACTTTCGAACAAAACATTCCAAAAATAGAAATACAAAAAAAAAAAAGAAAAGGAAAGGCAATAAGAGTAAATAAGCCAGAGGTACTACACAAATAACCATTTGTTTTAAATAAATAAGGGAAAGCCATCACTCAGATCCTATATATGTTGGATACTCAAAAATTTGAGTAAGCACAAAAAACATTCACAGTTTAAGAAACCAGGAACGGGTGCACCACTACTCGCTTGTAAGCATAAAGACAATTTGGGAATAATCTCATTTATATCTTATTTCATCAACACTGTTCAGATTAGCTTAAGCAAATCCCTCAAAAGATTCAATCTGTACAGAAGTCACGACTGGAATTATAAAGCATCCCATGTGAACCTGTGATTCAATATATTTTGGCTAAACATTAATCCATGATACCCTTCAATCATGGAAACAGCACAAAAAGGAGGAAACTGATCACCAAAGTCTCCATACAGTTTATTTCTCCTTTAAAACCAGCCCAATTTATCCTAAATCATTGACATGCGAGAGGAATTTTCAGTTGGATACAAATTCATGACAGACAAAAACTTCAGATTATTCTTCAAAGGTTGTAGCTTTCAATTGTGGATTCTATAAAACCCTAGAACAATAGGTAACACATAACACCACCAAATTTTCAAGCGAAACGGAAACGACGAATACCAAACATCAAATTTTGAGGCAAATAAACGGGGATAAGGAATAGGAAAGAGAATACATTGAAAGAGGAGTGGTAAAACCTGGAGATTTTAGGCCGCTTGGCCAATGGCTCCGCCATCGGACAACAGAATCAATCGGCGAAAACCGGTTGAACCGACAATTGGACGGTGTAATTAACCGACAAGAGAGATGGAAGAAGGGTATCGCCGGCGCCACCGCGGTGGAGAGGAGACGGTGAATCGGGTTTAATGTCCGGTGGGTTTGGGGTAAAATACTCTCTGTAGTTGATTAGACTGCTGTGCTCCACTGTCTACTTAAAATTCGCGCCAAATTTCAGTACAGGTTATATACACTTGCACTTTTGTGGCTTGCCGTTTTTATTTATTAATTTTTTAATTCGGCTAAAAGGTTTTTATTTCAAGATTTAAAATTTTCTTTTCCCAAGGTTCAAAATGTAAACGAGGGGAAAAAGTATACTAAATTATGGTACAAAACTCAAAACTCAATGTGAACTATTTTTGTGAGACGGAGGTAGTGAATTTTTTCCTTTAACGCTTACAAATTCTTGTCAATTTTTCTAAGAAGGGCCATTTGGTGAAAAAATGGAAATAATTTTCAGCTTCTTCCCTTTTATGTAATATTTTATTAATTTCTTTATTATTTTCTTAGAAACAACCTTATATTTGAAATCCTGAAAAACTACGTTTCAATTTAGTCAAATTGAGTAAAGACAGTCAAACTAGACGAAAGTAGCCGATTATGTTACGCGTACTATGACACAATCTAATTACTTCTTTTAAATGATAGAATTTGTCTTAATACATATACCATAATCATATATTTTCAATGTAGATGATTTCATATTCTTATTTTATTTTTTATATCAATGTTTTATTTTTTTATGAAATTTGACTATTTTTATTGAATTTTTTAACTATAAAAATTAAAATAAATAAGCCCAATGTAGATAATGTAATGAATCAATTGTAATGTTTTAAGTTTTATTCCTTTCGTCCCGAAATCGTTGTCCTGTTTGGATTTGTAAAAAAATAAAGGATAGATGGAGGCAATCTCAATACTTTCAAGGTAAGGTAATATTGCAAGAACTAATGGGTTGATTACAGAGAATGTATGAATACAATGTAAAAGTCAAATATTCAACATGCTTGAACCTCAAGTATATCACATGTGCGTTTTAGATGCGTTCTATATGATGTTTTATATTTAATTTATTTTTATTTTTATTTAATCAGATAGAACTTTCTCTTTCATCATTCTAGTCAGATCAAGTTTTCTCTTTCATTGTATCCTATATTTCCTCTGTTTTAATTTCTCATTTAAACTTTGAATGAACCCCTTATCTCCTCATTTACCAGAATAAACATGGATTTATTAGTCATTGGTCTTTTTATAGATGGCATTAAAGCAGAAAGTATTTGTGCACGTATGGTCAGAGTGTATTCATCTAATAGAATAATTCATTAACTTTGGTGAAGGCCTGTTTTCAAATGGCTGGCCATTCATGGTACTTTAACTCCGTCCATGTAGGTTTTACTTCCTACAACATCAATGATGCCATACATGCAAGTGAGGATGAAGAAGATAATGAGTTAATTAATTTACTGATTGTCATCTGGTTGTCAGAAGAACATGAAGGAGAGCATACCTCTAGGGAGCCATGGTTATGTCTAACCTAGAGAATAGTTGGTTTTCTATACTTGTTAATGGCAGTCCTCCAGCAGGTTTCTTTCAAGCTTCTAGGGGTATTCAACAGGGTGATCCGCTTTCTCCATATCTCTTTATACTTGTTTCAAAGGCAATAATAGAAGGCTAAAGTTTTTTATGGAAGATCACAAGATTATCTACTATGGTGTTCTTGTAGGGTCGATGCCTATTTCTCATCTTTGTTTTGCAGATGATCTTATAGTCTTCAATCAAGGATTAAAAGCGTCTATGAAAGAGCTGAATCAATTGTTTGAAAGTTATGAGAATGCATCTGTACAGAAGATCAATCGGCAAAAGAGCAATTTCTATGTAAAAGAGGATTGTAATGCTTCTCGGATACAAGCTATTAAAGTGGTGTTAGGTATGCAACAAGGCTCCTTTCCTTTTGTATATCTAGGATGCCGATTATACTCTGGTAGAAAGAAGGCTGCAACTTTTCATTTTATTCTGGATACCATTGATCGCATTGGAAGAATAAGATGATGAGTCAAGGGGGGCGTCTATTACTTATCAAGCATGTGTTATCCTCTATTCCTCTTCATGTCTTTGCGACAGTGGTTCCTCCAAAATTGATAATACATGCTATGCAAAAGAGATGTCAAATATTCCTTAGGCATAGTTCAGATAGCTTGTCTCGCGGACATTAGAGATCATGGAATAGACTTACTTTTCCATCTTCTGAGAATGGCATTGGCCTTAGGGATTTTCAGGAAATCCTAGATGTTTTTTCTATGAAATTGTGGTGGAAGATTAAGCATAAGAAAGGTCTTTGGGCTAGATTTATTCTCTCTTTGTCTGACTCGGCAAAGAAAACCTCTTGGAGCCGGATTGAAAGAATAGATTATTATGCATCCTTGCACTCTACAGTGTTAGTTCGAAATGGAGAAAGAAGCTTCTGGTTTGACAATTAGTCCCACTTGGGGTTTATATGGGATACATCGTCTTTGTCTCCGCCATACCCTAATATGAGTATTAGGGCTTTTTTGGAGAATGTTCTCCAAGGCTCTCTCAGGGAGTAATAACCTCATTAGAGGCCATGACTTTGGACTTCTTTGATGATGTGGATTTGCTCATTGGCAGCCTTCTCCTACAGGTTCAATCTCCATAAAAACTATTTATAAGGTTGCATGAAACCGTCTACCTCAAGATCCCATATCTCGTTTCTGGAATAAATTTTAGGGCTGTCAGTTAAACGGATAAACCCGAAAACCCGCCCAAACCGAAACCAATTTGGAGGTAACGGTTCGGTTATGCGGTGAATTCGGAGAATTGCGGGTGTAAAACCCACCCAAACCGAACCCAAAAACACGCCCCAACCGAACCCGAAAACCCGCCCCAACCGCAGAGACAATTCGGTTTGGTTGTGGTGGAAAAAAAATGAATCGGGCACTGCCCGAAAAATCGATTACTTATTATTATTTATTTAATATATAAATAAATGTAAATGCATATAAAAAGAAATTTCTTTCTAGAATCTAGGTTTCATTTTTTCTCTTTTTTTCTGGATGCGTCGCCGCTCCTTTTCCTTTGAACTCCAACCTTCACAATCCGATGATTATGTGTCCCAATCTGGCCATCCCCCTAACTAGATCTCACCTATTAACAATCCGACCATCTCCATGAAAAAAAAATGGTATTTTCCACTTCCAGTTTTGGATCTGGTGGTTGACCAGGGCTGTTGATCGACGTTCTTAGTTAATCTTTTAGATCTTAATTCCAGATCTTCAATTCTTCATAGCTTTCTGCTTAGGGTTCCTTCTTCTCTAAGCTCTCTTGTCTTCGGTGACAGAAACATTGAAAACACTGAAGCCCAAATCCTTATCCATTTGATAGAATAAAAAATTGATGATATCAATGCTTGATTTAACCACAAAGTTCGTTTTGGTGTTTAATTTTTTTCCCCTTCATTTGATTTGATGGTTTCTGAGATTTTTGCTACAGTTTTATTTTGCTATTTTTGATTTCATTGTTGGTTTTGTGAGGGTAGAACACGTTGTTGGTGAAGGATGATTGCTCGAAGAACGAATTCCTCAAGTTATTCAGAGAAAGCAAGCATTTTTTGTTAAGCCGTGCTTCCAATATTGGGACTGGAGTAAGCTGTCAATTATTTTTGATTCGGTAGAAACGGGTAGCGAACCAAAAAAAAAAAAAACCGATTGCTTATTCGGCTCGGTTTAATTCGGTAAAATTTATTGTCGGTTCGGTTTTGGGCGGTTCGTGTGAGAAGAAAAATCCGATTAACCCGAACCAAATATCACCCGAACCGACCGAGCTGCCCGATTTGATAGCCCTAATAAATTTGTTCCTCTTCGCATATCATTCTTTATGTGGAAGCTCCACAACCGTCTCCCTCCTTTTCAGAAATTTTTAATATGATGGGTTTCATTCCTTTGTCATCTCTATGTTGTCTCCGTAAAATGCATGAAGATACCATAGAGCATTTTTTCTTTGGATGCTCTAGGGTCCAAGAGTTGTGGAAGAAGGCTGGTCTTTTATGCAATTTGGTGGTGCCTCAGTTACATGCTTTATGAACTTTTCTTAATGAATGGTGGTGTGAATGGACTTTTAATACAGCTTTCAAGACAATAATTAAGGTTGCTCCGATCTTTACAATATGGGAGCTTTGGAAGGTAAGGAACGGTTTTTTTTTTTATGATATCCATGTTAATTTGCATAAAGTGTTCCAGGCAATTGTGCGACATATTGAAGACATGCATCTTGTACATTTAAGGTATCTTCTAAAGTTGAGAATGCTTTCTTGATATCCTCTTTCCCGACTCTACAATTTCGGGTTAAATCTAGGAATTCGAAGTTGGTAAGCTGGAAGCCTCCTGATCCGAATAGTTTTATCTTAAACACAGATGGTTCTTCTTTAGGGCAGAGTTTAATTTCGGGATATGGCTTTTTGATCCGAGGAAAAAAAGGTGTTCTTATATATGGGGAGTCCGGTTTCCTTGGCCGGGGGAGTAGTTTAGCTGCGGAGCTTTATGGCTTATTGTTTTTGTTCGAAGGTGTGTTCTTCTTGGCCTTTCAAATGTGCATATTCAAATGGATAATAAAGCTATAGTAGATGTAGTTAACAATGGTGGTCCTTTCCCATGGCGATATTATTTTGAGCTGCGTGAGATTTGCTACTTCATTTAGAGCTTTCACTATACTTTGATACATATATACATGAAAGCAAATGATGTGGCCGACAGACTTGCTCGAGAGGCATCTTTGGGCCAATCTCAGCTTTATGGTTCTCAAGCTGAACTCCCTAACTTTGCTAGGGGACTCTTGCTATTGGATATGCAGTCATTTCCACATATCAGAAAAAGGGTAATGTGTAGTAGACTAGTTGGGTAATGTGTAGTAGACTAGTTTGTCATTTTATATGCTTTATAACTTTAT